TGCTGAACAATTATATAAAGTCAATATTTCTGAACTGCCAATTTCCAGTGAATGTATCAATGATTTGAAGCTTATTGTAAATCAAGGGTATCTGCAGAATATGAATTTTTTCAGGAATAAGGCCCCCATAAGAAGCCTTTTAAGGTTTTCCTTTCATTCTATAGGTATCTTCAAGTGGTTTCTTCTCTTGAGCACTCTCCAGAAGTGTTCAAATCACACACATTCAAAGGCTCTTGATTTTTCTTTCTCTACACCTAAAGAAACAGGTGCAGTTTTTACCATCTCTTTAAAATTTGTAGTTCAACCTCATTCTTCCCAGTGCATCAGTAATTCTGCTGGATCCAATATCTCAAGTAACAGCAGAAAATATCCATTGTCATTATAAACGCAGTCGTCCCTAACTCAGAACAAGCAGATGACTGCTTAATAATATGTCTGTAGCTCCTTCCACCCAGAGATTGCAGATCTCTACAAAAATTAATTCATTTTTTTGCCTGATACGCACACTGCCAGGTCTTGCTGGGGTACAGGCTCATCTTGTTCTGCTTGAAGCGTGCAGGGGCGTGATGGTCATGACTGGAGCCAGCTCTGCGCTCTGTTGGCAACGTCCACCCATCCCACCTCCCACCAACAGCCCAGCTCTGGCAGCTCGACCCTCACCAGCCTTATATAGGGGCAAGTGCAGATAAAGGCCCTGCCTATAAGGACATCTCTCTTTTCTGTTTCCTTTCTGTTTTCTAGAGCTTTAAAACCTCATTCACACCTCACGATTTATCACATGGTAAAACTCATCTTAGGTGTTACCCACCACGATGTGCACAGTTAACCTTGACTGTTCTTCATTAAGTTCACCCAACTAAAGCCTTCTCCACTGGGAAGGAGGAATAGGGGTCTTCATGGCTGTTCGACTCCTGGTTTTGCTGCTCACTTCAGTCCATTATTTCTGGGGATTTCTCAACATTTTTATTCATTTTTAACTTAATTTCATGCATCCCTTCTATCCCACATAGCAGGTTTCTGTACTGTTTTCTCAGGGGTTGCTGGCAGTGCACAGACAGCAGAGGACACACTTCGTGCTTTAGGATATTTAGGAAAATAAAAGGTCATTTGTGGCAGTTTTACATGCCAGTTTAACGAGGATGAAGAACGAACTGCTGTGTGGCACCAGAAACATGGTGGGATGGTCAGCAGAGGGAAGATTGTAAAAGCAAATTTTGGGAGCAATTCTAGAGTCCACTCTGAAAAAGTGAACAGGAAGAAAAAAATGCCAATATATGGAAAAAACTAGAGGGTAAGCAACCAAAGAGATTCAGGATAGTTCTGAAAAAAACACTAGAAATTAAGTTGGCAGAGGATAAGTGTGGTAAGGGAGAACCAGCACAGGATGAGGAGACCTGGGGAGGGAGAGGAGGAGGCTGGAGAACAGATACGTTATATATTCAAAGCAAATAAAGTGATTCTTCTTTTCTTCTTCTCAAAATGAGTCATTCCAAAGTACCGGTGAGTTTTTTAACAGCCATCGGATGTTAAGCTTAAGTTAAATATAGTTACAATTCCAATAATTCTGTTACGGGTCACAAGGCCCAGCTAAGACTACCAAGAAATGTTCAAATCCCACAATAAAAAAATGTCCAAATTAGCACCCAGAAGTGGAAACGTTGGTTGAAATGTTTCAGTCCTGGAGGTTAGATGGAAAGCTTTCTGTCTTTCCAAAACCAAGGCAGTTGCAAACTGCTTATGGTTTTCCCACATTACACGCAGCACTGATCTCGATTAGTTTTACAGCGTAAATGTCAAAAAAGTCTCTGGAGATCAACTGACTCCTGAGTAACTTAATTATACCTCCGGGCCATTTTTGGTTTTGCATGATCATATTTACTTAGCAATGAATCCCTCGTTCTCCAGGTATGCTATATAATTGAGTTACTTTTATCTTCTTCCTCTTCTTGTGAAAGCCCTAGTGATTTTTTGGGATCATAAATACAATTAAAGCAAAAAAGGAGTTTCTTAAGAAGCTTCAAGATTTGGTGATGCTGCTGGATTCATCAATATTTAATTATACTTTATAAACATCAACAAACTCAGGTTCCTAACCGTCCCAGTCAGCTGCTGAAATATTCACAAGAAAGCACTAAAAGGATTAAGAAAGAAGCAGAATGAGCTTCATTATCCAAGAACTGTCCTGGGCCTGATCTTCTCTCTTAGAACATGTAAGGGATGTCCATAAATCTCCTGAACAGGCTGGGAGGATGCATGCCTCCGGGCTGGAGATTTCTGTGGGCTTTACAAAGAACAGAAACGGCTGAGCTGCTGTAAGGGAAAAACTTCCCAGAAAAAAATCCCGTGCTGAGAGCCATTAAACACAGCCCTGAGCTGCATTATAAGAGGGGAGGGAGGCAGAATATGGTGTCAGAGACATAGGAACATTTATTATACACCTGAGAGCCACCAGCCTTCGTGTACGGTCAGCACTGGATACCAGCTGTCAGGAAACAAGGCTCCAGTCAAAGCTGGAAGCTGAAGCCAGTCACAAAGCTCCACAGCAGCAAAGGAGAGCTGGTAAAGACAAGCTCATCTGCAGCAGAATTGTGGACTTTAACTGGGAAAGGGTTGGCTGATTTGATCTTCAGCAGCTGGTGTGGGGTAGGAAACTCCTAGATATCTCAGTGTCCCTCAGCTGTGGATTTGCATTGTGTATCCATGAACTAGTGCGCCTTGCTACAGCTCTAAAAAGAGAAAACATCCTTGCCCACTGCTGCATAAGCACATGGTTAGTGATCCTCTTACCCTACAAGGAGTATATAAGATAAAGCTTGTAAAATACAACTGCCAAGGTGCTTCTTTTGCCACTTAGCAGGTCACTGTGACTTACGGCAATGGCAGCAGCAGAGCTACAGCGTCTGCATCCTTTTATCCACTCAGTCAGAACAAGCTAGAAACGTGCAAACAAAATCTAATGCCGCCTCATAAATACAACCGAGTATGCTGCAACGAGAAATCAAAAGTATGTAATAATATGAATACAAACTGCAGCACTTGCAATCTTCCCTGGGCAATACTGAGGCAATAAGTTTTTCTCCATAGGGAATGCTCCGGTATAAATCTGTGCATGCAGTGAAGTTACAGCGGTGTCATTTCCAATTCTTGCCAGGACCTGGCTTTCTGCCTGCACTTGGGCTGGTGCCTCAGATTTCTCTTGCACCTGGTAGAGGCAGGAAGATTATAACATCTTCACTGAGTATTCACAATAGCCACTGTAAGTTGTTTTCCAGGGCATTGATTGGAGAATGTTAATTTTTTGATTCATCCCAAAACTCAGCAAGGTATGAAACATTAGTGTGAGACAGCAAAAGCAGCAATACAACACCTGTGTTTCCCCATGTCTAAGCTTCAAGTCAGCCAAAACCTGTTAATTGCTTCGCCTCTGCTCTTGAAAACAGCAAACGCTACAAATGCAGCTCCACGTAGCAGCGAGATGAGCAATGCCCACTGCCCACTCTGTGATAAAATGAAACTAAACAACTGAACATGAAATAGGTCACTTGAAACAAGCCTGAAAAGAAACAAACCTGTGCAAGAATAAACCTCCCAGTCCCTCTCTGCAATGCAAACTGGTAAACAGAGATGCTGCATGAAGAGGCTCTAGAGGAAATCTTAGGGTGCTTGGAAGGGTTGGTAACATGTATTTTAGGTCCAGCAGCTGTGGCCTAGGTTGCAAGAAACACAAATCTCATACGTACCTTGGTCAACTCTTGGGCATTTGCCAGGTTGTCAACCGCAATAGCCAAGAAGACATTCAGGAGCGTATCTTTTGGGGAGCAGCTAAGGAAAAAACCTTCACACAGCAGATAGAGTAAACTGTTCCCCTTCTGCTGCCACCACCCCTCTTTCCCCACTCGCAATCATTGGTATGATGTGGATCAACCCCTTGTACCACTACTTTGTCTGTATTTCTAACTCCCGCCCTTCTGCTGGGACCCAGCTGTGCAGCACATCGGTGCTGGGCACCCACCTGCTCTGCCCAGCACACTGGGGTGAGCAGATGGGTTCTACAACACCGCAGGTGCAACCAGTGATCCGGGAGACACAGTGGACCCTGTTGTTTCATTCCAAGAAACCCACACCTACATTCCTGCCTACACACACACACTCTGGATTTCACCTTCATTTTTCCCTCTTGTTTTAAGGATCAACTGGTAGAGCTCCTGGAAATCGGTCACTTTAAAGCCAACATTTGCATAATATATACACAGAGCGACAGAAAGGCATTGGGTACCATCAAAAAGTTAAACTTAAGTGATTGCTGCATTCCATAGTGGTGGGAGGAAACTATCATGACTTGTCACACTGCAGTCGATATGACAATTAAACCGCCACGGACATCCTCTATCCTGAAGGCTGCAGCATCACGCAGCGCTCAGCTACAGAAGAGCCTCTTAGCAGGACACCCAGCCTGAGATAATGAGCTCTGCCAGGAAACGGGCCGTTAGTCCAGGCCAAATTGCATGTAGCCCAGCTAAACAAGCGCCAGTGCCCACGCTAGCCTGGGTCTCTGCAGAGCACTGCATTATATCACTAAGACAGAACATTTCCCTATAATTATTTATTCATATTTTATTTCCGTTTTCCGCTTAATGATTTCAGCTATTACTTGTCCCTTCATATATTTTACTGTTGTTATTCCAGCTGATCTGCAAATCAGCCCCAAAACAACTGTAAATCAAATACCTTTGCGTACGAAAGAAGAGCAAGCAAAGCAAAACTGAGTCTAAACTCCTCTCCAAGAAGAAAATGCAGTTTGCTCTTGCACATTACCAGGTGACAGGAGAGTTGCTCACTCCAGAGATGAGTAAAGCTAAGATTCCTCCTCTAAATATGCACGTACATGAGCATGAAGTCGATCTCATGAGTATTTACCCTCTGGAGATTCACAGAGGCTTTAACAGCAATGAGCTGCTGCGCTGTTTGTGTTGCACTGTCCTCCCCTGAGCCAAACACGGGTCTGGGACCAGAGGCAGGTGCCCACAGCTGAGTGAAATGACTGCAGCAGGTTTAGGCAACAAATCCAGTTATTTTCTGTTGGGTTAATGTGTCCCATTTTGGACTGAGAGTTGGAAGCAATGCCACAGCAAAGACAGCGGGACAGACGAGGGCAGTATGCTGGGGGTAGCTGGGCAATCGCCCCAGTGAGGGGAGAGGAAGGGAGGTGCGAGCTTCTAGGGTGCTGGCAAACCTGCAATGAAATTTTGGGAAGCCTTGGCCTTAGTGTCCCTCTGATCACTTTCCATTTCTCAGAAAGATGCCTGGAGGAGGCATCTGAGGTTTCCCTATAAACAGAGGAGCCAGGAGTGGTACAAGGCTGCTTTTTTTTTCCGAACGTGCCCAGAAATCCCCGTGCTCCAGCAGCCTCTGGACAGCACGCTGGCTGCGCGTGCTGCTAGCTGCCGAGCTGTTGCCCCATGTTGGCACAGCATCAGGAGACTTCCCAGGGTGGCCAGGAACCAAAGCTGGCCCAAATAACCAGCTCAAAGCCTCTTTGCTTTCCCTCTCAAGAGCTTTTTCCAAACACAGTTCAGCCAAGACTTCAGAACCAGACATTCATCTCTCTAATTCCCAGTGAGACAAGTGTCTCCAGAGCCTGAATGCCTACCAAAACTGGAGCTTCTGCCTGTGACTTGTGACAGGGGAAAGCAGGAGTTGTACTTAATATCTCAGGATGCAACTGCATCCTGACTACCAAACCCTGCAGAGGCTGGGACACAGAGCCCTGGGGTTTCTCCAGGCAAAGGCCAGGTCATCCATTAGGTTTTCTCGGTGTCAAGTAACATGGGGTGGAGGTTTTTATCATGTGAAGATGATTCCTCTGGACAGACAGAGGTTTGAAACGTGATGCTCATCAGTTGCTCCTTCCTCTGTTCCAGCAGGAGGAGGAGCGACAGGTGGGAGCACCTCAATCCCTGTGAGCCCAGCAGATAAGAAACAAGAAAAGGGGAAAGATGATGCTGAAATTATCACCTCCCTCCCACACTGAAGTCAGAGTTCCATCAACCTTCCATTTGCAAAGATACTAATTTCCTTTTAACCAAGGGTTGGCAAGAGGGGGCTGTCACTTGTGGGCTGGGGGTGCAGGCAGGGAGGCTGAGGCACTACTGCCCGTGGCACTGCTGGGGTGCTTGCCGGAACCGGCTGTTTGGGTTTCTTCCTCTGGGGTGCTTCCAACACGTTGGAAATGCTTCCAAACCTCCTGCTCTTGGAATAAATGTCTTGGTAATAAAACCATCTTCCCACCTCTACCTCCTACACACACATGCTGAAAATGTCTTGTGTAACGTAATCAACCACTGGAAATATAATTAATATTTTTTTAAGAGATCAGGCTGTTTTGATCCACCTCCAAGCAGACATAGTCTGGCAGATTTGGGTCTTTCTGTCCCAAAAAAGGTCTCTCAGCCATTTCCACAGAGCTCGAGGATTGTCAAATATCACCCAAACTCCAGCCACTGGTCCAGGCTGTGTAACAGTCAGACCCACGGACCTGTCAGGCCAGCTGAGCTGGCCTCTTGTGCCCAGTATGGCTCTCCTGCCTGGCAGCTAAGGGCAAGGAGAAGGGCAGCATGCTCCAGCCACTTGTTGCTTTCCATTCTGGGCTCCTCTGCAGTTTTTCAGGTTGGGTTTTTTTCCTTGTTTTCTTTTCCTCTGAACAGATGCATCAATTTATCAATTAACTGGATAACAATGAATACAGGCATAGTGTAATTTCCTAGAAAATGGGCCAAATCCTGCTGTTACTCTAATCACACTACTTTCATTAAACCATTTCAGACCAGAGGTCTGGCTCCACACAGACCCTCTGGAACAGGGAACATAATGTGAGAGACTTCCGACTTACAAACCCAGAGTTTCTGGATCTTTTTCTTGCTGTAATCCCTTGAAAAAGTAAATGGATTAGAAGGAATGACAGAGCTGCAGTAAGAAGAAGAGGAAGTCAGCACCCACCCACCTTTCTTCCTTATGAAAAACAATAATCACAATGCCCTGAGCAGCTCTGGGAGAAGAGAAGAATCTCTCATGTTTAAAAAGAGCAGGTTTTGCAAGTTGACCCAAAATTGCCAGTGTCAGTTCTCTAACAAGATTTGATCCAGTCTGCCTAAATTCTTAAAAATGGACTTACCAAATGCTGATGTTCAAAAACTGAAAATAAAACGCCATCTCAGCAGAGGAACTGAAGTGCCTGATCAGCACCCAGAAGGGCTTAGACCGATAGGTAGGGATACAAAAAATAAAGACAGAAGGTCCCACATTAGAAATTCAGCTGCAGTGAACAACCGTGTGGGGAGGGCTGGTGGCAAATCCACACTGGAGAAAAAAAAAAAAAAAATCCATTGCATTAAAAAATGACATTTTAAATCTTTTTGGAGGGAGTTCTGTAAGGCAGGAGGGGAGATCTTCTTGAAGTTCCAACTTAGAGCACAAAAGACAACTGAGATTAATTTAATCAACAACTTGGACTGCTCTCCATAGGGTGTCTGCTTGGCTGTGAAGGTCTCCGTGGTAAGATGAACCCCAGGCTCAGAGACATACCTCACCCCGTACACTTGCCTGTCCTTAACATTGCTGGGCACTGCAGCATCATTGACAATAACGACTATTTATTGAGTGCACCCTCAGC